ATATCTATTTGCCTATATATCTATATTTATACATCTCTATATATGTCTATCTATATCTATATATATCTATCTACATATCTATATCTATCTATATCTATCTATATATATCTATATCTGTCTCTATATCTATCTATATGTATATATCTATCTGTCTATATCTATATATATATCTATGTCTATATATCTATATGTATATATCTATATCTACATATCTATATGTATATCTACCTATCTATATATATCTATATCTATCTATTTGTCTATATATCTATATTTACATATCTATATATGTCTATATATCTATCTATATATCTACATATCTATATATCTATCTCTATCTATCTATCATCTATCTGTATATCTATCTATATATCTATCTATCTACATATCTATATATCTATCTGTATATATCTCTATCTATCTATCGATCGATCGATCTATCTATCTATCAGAGGCCCGGTGCATAAATGCGTGCATGGCTTGGGCGGGAGTGGGGGGGTCTGGCCAGCCTATAGGACGGACACGGAGCGGCCGGACGGTTCTGCGTCCAGAGATCGCCCTCCTCTGGCCGCTCCGTGTTGGTGATGGACTAAGGAGGCGGGAGAAAGCCAAGGGGGGTGGGTGGGAAGGGGCGGGGCTTTGAGAAGCTCTGGGATTGGATGAAAAGTAAAATGACAGACACTTGGCCTGATGGGAGAGGGCAGTACAAGGTCGTTAACGGACAGCAAGGACCAGGATTAACAATAGCAATTGGGGGGGAGGGGGGCTGGGGGGGTTTGAGGTCTCCTTCCTGGACCGTTTCCGTGTATGGCCGGTGTGGCTCAGTGGACAGAGCGCCGGCCTGCAGACGGAAGGGTCCCGGGTTCGATTCCCGGTCAAGGGCATGGACCTGGGTGGCTGAGGGCACATCCCCAGGGGGGGGCGTGCGGGAGGCGGCGGATGGATGTGTCTCTCTCATCCTGGATGTTTCTGACTATCCCTCTCCCAGTCTCTCTGCAAAACATCAATAAAGTACATATTTTTAAAAAGACAGGCTCACTGAAGTTCAAAGTTGATATTTGTCAGGAAAGATACTGCCTAGGCTATGACTAGTCTGGAACCTGTTTCTTTTATTTTATTTTATTTTATTAATATATTGTATTGATTTTTTTACGGAGAGGAAAGGAGAGGGAGAGAGAGTTAGAACCATCCATGAGAGAGACACATCCGTGAGCTGCCTCCCGCACGCCCCCCACTGGGGATGTGCCCTCAGCCACCGAGGTCCACGCCCTTGACCGGGAAATCGAACCCGGGACCCTTCTCGTCCGCAGGCCGACGCTCTGTCTATCCACTGAGCCGCACCGGTTTCAGCATAGAACCTGTTGGCCGTTAGATATTCAATTTCCAGACCATCTTTGGTGGCGATATCAGGTCTCCTGAGTTTGCAAGACTGACTGCCATGCAGGCCTCCCCTGAGCTGGCCAGGTCAGCGTGTGGCTCTCTTCCTTCAGCGCAACATTGTATCAGGGCGACCATGGCAACATTGTATCAGGTGATAAGCGTTTGCAACATTGTTTCAGGGTGACCATGGCAACATTGTATCAGGGCGACCATGGCAAACATTGTATCAGGCGATGAGCGTTTGCAACATTGTTTCAAAGGTGACCATGGCAACATTGTATCAGGTGGTGAGTGTTTGCAACATTGTATCAGGGCGACCATGGCAACATTGTATCAGGTGTTGAGTGTTTGCAACATTGTATCAGGTGTTGACCGCTGGCAACATTGTATCAGGGTGACCATGGCAACATTTGTATCAGGGCGACCATGGCAAACATCGTATCAGGTGATAAACCTTTGCAACACTGTATCAGGTGTTAACCGCTGGCAACATTGTATCAGGGCGACCATGGCAACATTGTGTCAGGTGAAGAGTGTTTGCAACATTGTTTCAGGGTGACCATGACAACACTGTATCAGGGTGACCATGGCAACATTGTATCAGGTGATGAGCGTTTGCAACATTGTATCAGGGCGACCACGGCAACATTGTATCAGGTTATGAGTGTTTGCAACATTGTATCAGGTGTTGACTGCTGGCAACATTGTATCAGGGTGACCATGGCAACATTGTATCAGGGCGCCCATGGCAAACATTGTATCAGGTGACGAGCGTTTGCAACATTGTATCAGGGTGGTCGCTGGCAACATTGTATCAGGGTGACCATGGCAACATTGTGTCAGGTGGTGAGTGTTTTGCAACATTGTATCAGGTGTTAAAAACGCTGGCAACTTTGTATCTGTGAAGGGAAAGAGCCACATGCTGCCGAAGCCGGTGTGGCTCAGTGGATAGCGCGTGGGCCTGCGGACGGAAGGGTCCCGGGTTCGATTCCGGGTCAAGGGCATGGGCCTGGGTGGCTGAGGGCACATCCCCAGCGGGGGGGCGTGCAGGAGGCGGCGGATGGATGTTTCCCTCTCATCATCGATGTTTCTCTTTAAATATATTTTATTTAATATTTTACAGAGAGGGATAAAGAGTTAGAGACATTGATGATGAGAGAGAAACATCCATCCGCTGCCTCTTGCACATCCCCTATTGGGGATGTGCCCGCAGCCAGAGTCCATGCCCTTGACCCGGAATCGAACCCGGTTTTGGCTCATCGATGTTTCTAACTCCCTGTCCCTCTCTCTTCCTCTCTGTAAAAAAATCAATAAAATATATTAAAAACAAAACAAACAAAAAAACTATAAGTACAACCAATGGACACAAAACTCCGGGGAGGGAGGGTATGGATGGAAGGGGGGAAGGCAATGCTAAAATATGTACACAGAGAATAATTTAATAAATAAATTTTAAAAAGCCAAACCCGGTTTGGCTCAGTGGATAGAGCATCAGCCTGCGGACTGAAGGGTCCCGGGTTCGATTCCCGGTCAAGGGCGTGGACCTTGGTGGCTGAGGGCACATCCCCAGTGGGGGGCGTGCAGGAGGCAGCTGGTCCATGTTTCTCTCTCATCGATGTTTCTAGCTCCCTCTCCCTCTTTGTAAAAAAAAAAAAAAAAATCAATAAAATATATTTAAAATAATAATAATAATAAAAAGAGCCACATGCTAACCTGACCAGCTCAGGGAAGGCCTGCCTGGCGGTCAGTCTTGCAAACCCAGAGGCCTCAGATCACCACAAAAGATGGTTTGAAAATGAAATAATTTAACAGGTTAGAATAGGCAGTCATGTCCCAGATATTCTCCCAGACAAAGACCAACTTTGATCTTTTTCCTGAGCCCATTTGCCTTTTTTTTTTTTTTTTTTTTTTTTTTTTTTTTTTTTTGCCTCTAAGATAACACACCTGTGAGTACCTCCCTTTTCCCGGAGCCCCTGGGGCACAGCCAGACGGGACAGATGCCTCAAATTCCTTCGTTATCATGTTCCTGGTTCCTGCACTCACCTGAGTGCACATCTTATCAATTTTTTTTTAATCTAATTCCAGGAATTTCCCACTGTTTTTTGCTTTCTCCCGCCTCCTCACTCCGTCACCCATGGATTTCCTGTCGCCCACCCACCCACCCACCCACCCGTGTCCCTCCTTTGATTTCGGTGTATAAATAGAGAAACAGAATCCGCCATTCTCCGGAGCATTCTCTCAATCCCTGGAGGTTCTGCTTCCCGGCCTGTGTCGAAAGTTTGGCTCAAATAAACTCACTGACGTGCTTTACAGGTTTCCACGTTTGTTTGTTTTCCCGTTAACGCAACATGGTGTCAGGAGGATGTGCGCTGGCAACATTGTATCGCGCTGACCGATGGCGACATTGTATCAGAGTGACCCCTGGCGACATTGTATTGAAATATAGCGGCAACCATACTTGGGTCAAAACTGCTGTTTGAATTTTAACCCTGCTGCCCTGTTTTCCCCTGAAAATAAGACAGTGTCTTATATTAATTTTTTTTAGGTCTTATTTTCGGGGAAACTCGGTAAGTCTGGCTTTTGCACCTGATTAAACAATGTTGTTTTTTTGAAAAAATATATATATTTTATTGATTTTTTTACAGAGAGGGATAGTCAGAAACATGGATGAGAGAGAAACATAGACCAGCTGCCTCCTGCACGCCCCCTACCGGGGATGGGCCCGCAACCCAGGCACTTGCCCTTGACCCGGAATCGAACCCGGGACCCCCTCAGTCCGCAGGCCGACGCTCTATCCACTGAGCCACACCGGTTTCTGCTCTTGCCTGTTTTATTTATTTATTTTTAAATCCATCATCAGCCTCCGGTGGTCGTATTTTGAACCCAGGGTTCGACCCCACGACAGCATCAGGGTGATGAATGCTGGCAACATTGTATCAGGGAGGACAGATAGCAACATTGTATCAGGGGGAAATAACAACATTGTATCAGGTGGCAAGTGTTCGCAACATTGTATCACGCTGACCAAAATGGCAACAATGTATCAGGTGACCGATTGCAACAATGTATCGCTGTGACCGCCAGCAAGGGGCCCGGGTCTCAGGGGCAGGAGGCTCCCTGCAGACCTGGCTCCCGGGTTCGAGTGTGGTGACCCCGAAGGGGAGGGGGGTTCGCACTGCCGCCTCCCGACCGAGGGGGGGGTACGAGTTGCACGTGACCTTCACAAGGTCACGGCCGCCTCCGCGCGCCCCCCACCCTCGGGGACTCACGCACGCACGCACAACGCTTGGGCGTGCCCCGCCATCCCGGCATCCCCCGGGGCGCCTCTGCAGCGACGTCTCCCCGCTCAGCCAATGAGCGCGGCGCAGGCTGACAAGGGGCGGGGCCCCGCGCAGCTGCCGGAAGCCCGCGGGGGCGCGCGTCCGCGGAGGGGGCGTGGCCACGGCGGGCGCGGCGGCCAATCGGGAGGCCGCGAAGGGGATAGGGGGCGGGGCCTCGGCGCCTTAGCGGCTGCGCCCTGGGCTCCCCGTCCTTTTTTGCGGTCCCAGCGGCGGCGCCCACACTCCCGGCGGCTGCTTCCCCTGAGAATCCGGGTCCTCCCCGCGTCCGTCCCCGAAACCATGACTGAACAGGCCATCTCGTTCGCCAAGGACTTCCTGGCGGGGGGAGTCGCCGCAGCCATCTCCAAGACGGCCGTGGCCCCCATCGAGCGCGTCAAGCTGCTGCTGCAGGTATGGGGGGGCTGGGAAGGGTATGGGGGGGCTGCATCCGGCCGCGTGCGCGCATGCGTGTGGGCTTGGGAGAGCTTTGCAGAGCTTGGGGTGCATGCACCTCAGCTCAGGCCGCGTGCACCCCCCGTGGGACTTGGAGGGAGCGAGGAGACGGGAGGGGAGGGGGTGCCGGAAGTGCGAGGCCACCCCGCTTTTGTCCGGGCACGCCGACTTCCGGGGGTGCCTGCCTGTCCGGGGGGGAGGGAGTGGGGGTGGCGGGGCGCATGCGCGCGGTTGCACTGTGCAGGCGGATGCAAGCCGCTGGTCCCCCTTGGCTGGACTTGGACCCGGGCCACCGGGCTCCCCAGAGCCGTCCGGGCGGTTTTGCAGCCGCCTCAGGGGAGGGGGGGGGGTTTTGCAAAGAATTGGGAAACGTTTGCACGTGCGGAGGCGCTGGGACAGGGTTGCCGGGTGGGTGGCTGGCTGGCGACATCGTAACAGGAGGATGGCCGCTTGCAACATTGTACCAGTTTTGTGACGCTTTTTTTTGTTGCAACATTGTATCAGGGGAGCTGAGCGCTTTACGGCACTGTATCGGATTTGCCCGATGCCACACGGTATCAGGGACGAGGGATTTGCAACAATGTATCAAGGCTACGAGCGATTCGCGACATTGTATCAGGGCGCTGAGCTCTTGGCGACATTGTATCGGTTTTTTGCGACCGCTTTTGCAAACATTGTATCAGGGGATTCAGAGTGCGTCGCGACATTGTATCAGATTTAACCGATGCAACATTGTATCAGTTTAAAAAAACACACACCGATCGTTTGCTACATTGTATCAGGGAGCTGAGCGCTTTTGCGACTTTGTATCAGGGGATGAAACGCTTTGCGACATTGTATCAGATTTGACAGATGCAACATTGTCTCAGGGGATCGATCACCCCCCCCCACCCCCGCACCATTGTGTCAGGAAGATGGCAGTTTGCAACATTGTATCAGAGCTAAGAGTGCTTTTTGCGACAATGTATCAAGGCTATGAACGCTTTGCGACATTGTATCCGGTGATGAGCTCTTTTGAGACATTGTATCAGGGGATTCGACTACCGTCCTGAGACATTGTATCAGGAGGATGGTAGCTTCGCAACATTGTATCAGTTTTGTGATCGCTGGCAACATTGTATCAGAGCTAAAAACTCGCAACAATGTATCAGGCGATGAATGCTTTGCGGCATTCTATCAGAATTGACCAAAATGCAACATTGTATCGGAAAAATATGTCAGCTTGCGACATTGTATCAGGGCGATGGTGCTTTTGCGACATTGGATCAGGGGATTGATCACCCTCCTGCGACATTGTATCAGTTTGTGATCGCTGGCAACATTGGATCAGGGCGACGGCAGCCTGCAACATTGTATCAGAGCTAAGAGGGCTTTTTTGCGACATTGTTTCAGGGAGCCGAGCGCTTTACGACGTTGTATCAGGGAGCTGAGCGCTTTGCGACATCGTATCAGGGGATTGATTACCCCTCCTGCGACATTGTATCAGGAGATGCGTGCTTTGCGGCATTGTATCAGGGAGCCCGAGCGCTTTGCGACATTGTATCAGGGGGACTAGTGTCTTTGCGACATTGTATCAGATTTGGCAGCTGCAACATTGTATCAGTTTGTGACCGCTTGCAAACATCGTATCAGGGGATTGATTACCCTCCTGCGGGCGACATTGTGTCAGGAGGACGGCAGTTTGCAACATTGTATCAGAGCTAAGAGTGCTTTGCGGCATCGTATCAGTTTGTGATCGCTTTTGCAACGTTGTATCAGAGATGATCAGTGCAACGTTGTATCAGAGATGATCAGTGCAACATTGTATCAGAGATGATCAGTGCAACATTGTATCAGAGATGATCAGTGCAACATTGTATCAATCAGAAGGATGCAGCTTGCAAACATTGTATCAGGGAGCGCAGTGCTTTTGCGACATTGTATCAGGGCGGGGCGGACCAGAGTGCTTTGCCCTTCCAGTGGGGGGCGTGCAGGAGGCAGCTGATGGATGTTTCTCTCTCATCATCGATGTTTCTGGCTCTCTCTCTCCCTCTCCCTTCCTCTCTGCAAAGAATCAATAAAATACATATTTAAAAAAAATAAAATAAAATAGATTTAGAGACAGAGAAGCATCGAACAGGCTTCTGTCCAACCTCAGAGGGAAGGCAGGGTGGGAGGGAGGGTGGGGGGAACGATTTTTAACCAAAGACCTTGTATGTATCACCCGTGGACACAGACATTTTGGGGGGGAGGGGGGTGCAGGCCTGGGGTAGCGGGGGACAGGGGGAGATGGGGGACCCCAAGGGGACTAAGAGAGACACATGTAATAGTGTGAGCAGTCTTTGGTGTCTGTTTTGTTTTAAAATATATTCCTATTGGCTTCAGAGAGGGAGGGGGGAGAGAGAGAGAGAGAGAGAGAGAGAGAGAGAGAGAGAGAGACATCCATCCATGAGGAGAGAGAATCACGGACCTGCCGCCTCCTGCACGCCCCCTCCTGGTTGGGGACGGAGCCCACAAACCCGGGCCTGTGCCCCTGACCCGGGAAACGAACCCTGACCCCCTGGGTCCTAGGTCGGCGCTCTAACCTCTGACCCACACCGGCTGGGTTTAAATTTGTATTGATATCAAAGAGGAAGGGAGACAGAGACAGACAGACAGACAGACAGAGAGAGAGAGAGAGAGAGAGAGAGAGAGAGAGAGAGAGAGAATCACGGACCGGCCGCCTCCTGCACGCCCCCTCCTGGTTGGGGATGGAGCCCGCAACCCCGGGGCCTGTGCCCTTGACCTAAACATCCATCCGGAATCCATCCGTCCGTCCGTCTGTCGTCACCTCCTGGGACACACACGTCGTCACACGCAGCCGCTGGGACCAAAATAACCTGTTATCTCGCCCCCCCCCCCCCCCCCCGCCCGGTGCGGCTCAGTGGTTACAGCGCCGCCCTGTGAGCCGGTTCTGTCCCCCGGGGTCAGGGCACCCGGCAGGCTGGGTGCCCCGTGGGGGAGGGGGTGGGGTTGGGGGTGGGGGTGGGGGTGAGGGTGGGGGTGGGGGTGGGAGTGGGGGTGGGGGTGGGGGTGGGGGAGGGGGTGGGGGCGGGGGTGGGGATGGGGGTGGGGGTGGGGGTGGGGGTGGGGGCGGGGGTGGGGGTGGGGGTGGGGGTGGGGGTGGGGGCGTGAGGGAGGCAGCCGGTCCATGGTTCTCCGTCCTCCTGGCTGTGTGTGTCTCCCTCTCCCTTCCGCTCTGGTATCAATAAAAATAGGTAAAATTAATAATAAAAATAAGAAGAATAACGAGGAATCCATGCTAATCCTCAGTATTGATCCTATCAGGAATGAATCCCAATAATCCTGTCCACCGAGCTGGCAGGGCTCAGTGGGTAGAGCCGCTTGGCCTGCTGGACGGGAAGGGTCCCGGGTTCGATTCCCGGCCCAGGGCACAGGCCCCGGGCTGCGGGCTCGGTCCCCAGTGGGGGGCGCGCGGGAGGCGGCGGAGGCCCGTGGTTCTCTCTGAGTTGGGATGTTTCTCTCTGTGTCTCTCCCGTCCTCGCTGACATCAGTAAAAAATATAATAGAAAAAGGGGATGTGAATTCACTGTGGATTTGGCTTTAGAAAGAATTATTTATTTTAATGTGTTTTTACTGGTTTCAGAGAGGGAGGGCGGGAGGGGAAAAGAGAGAAGCAGCCACTGAGCCACCCCAGCCAGGGCGATATCTATCCATCTATCTATCATCTATCTATCTGTCTGTCCGTCCGTCCATCCATCCATCCATCCATCCATCCATCCATCCATCTATCTATCTATCTATCTATCTATCTATCTATCTATCTATCTATCTATCCATCCATCCATCCATCTATGCATCCATCCATCGATCGATCTATCTATGCATCCATCCATCCGTCTATCCATCCATCTATCCTTCCATCTATCTATCTATCTATCTATCTATCTATCTATCCATCCATCCATCCATCTATCCATCCATCTATCCATCTATCTATCATCTATCTATCCATCCATCCATGTATCTATCCATCCATCTATCCATCTATCTATCTATCTATCTATCTATCTATCTATCATCTATCTATCCATCCATCTATGCATCCATCCATCCATCCATCCATCCATCCATCCGTCTATCCATCCATCTATCTATCCTTCCATCTATCTATCCATCTATCTATCCATCCATCTATCCATCTATCATCTATCTATCTATCCATCCATCCATGTATCTATCCATCTATCTATCTATTTATCTATCTATATATCCATCCATCCATCCATCCATCCATCCGTCTATCCATCCATCTATCTATCCATCTATCTATCATCTATCTATCCATTTATCTCATCTATCATCTATCTATCTATCATCTATCTATGTATCTATTTATCTATCATCTATGTATCTATCTCTATCAATCTATCTATGTCTCTATCTGTCTATCTATCCATCTATCTATCTATCTATCTATCTATCTATCTATCCATCCATCCATCCATCCATCCATCCATCCATCCATCTATCTATCTATCTATCTATCTATCTATCTATCTATCTATCTATCTATCTATCTATCTATCTATCATCTATCTCTACTATCTATCTACCTATCAAGAGCACAGGCCCAGGTTGTGGGCTGGATCCCCAGTAGGGGGCGTGCAGGAGGCAGCCGGCCCATGATTCTCTCTTAGTTTGGATATTTCTCTCTGTCTCTCTCCCGTCCTCGCTGACATCAATAAAAAATAATAATAATAAAAGAAAAGAATGCGGATTATTGTGGATTTTTCCTTTAGAAATTCATAGTCTCAGTGGTGTGGGCGATGAGCTGGGAGCCAGTTCTGTGTGTTTCCAGACAAGGGTGCCTCCTGGGGGTCGCACCCGGGACCCTTCCGATTTCAGGCCGATGTAGAGTATATAATTTTTATTTTAAAAATCCATCACACAGATAATAATTTAATTTAAAAAAATGT